AATATTATTGGTTTTGCATCCCAATTAAATCATCTATACTGAGCTAAATAAGAAATCTATATGAGTGTAAAACTATTAATAAAATGTTATGAAATTGCAGGTTATTGTGTTTAAATAAAAAACTCACTATTTTTTTTTATCATGAGAGATGAAAAATCAGAGATTTCTATCGACAAATGACATCAATCCATTAATGTCATATGATTGAAGTTAAAGTTCAAACTCTCAAATGGCCGATGTAGGACAGATTTGCAAATGTTAGTTTTTTATAAGTACTTAGAAAACTAAGAGATGATGTCGCATTCACGGCTAGAAGAAATCACGGGTTATAGAATTTCATTCAGCCAGGAGTGAATTCAGTCTGGAACGTAACGTACGCTCTCTCAAGAATTATAAAAGCTCACCTATGTGTAAGTCTCTTTGGAGAATACATGTAGCACGAAATTAAAACGCTCATGCCATTCTGTATAGATGAAAAGTTCACGTAAAACCGTGAAATGTCGCGAAGGGCAAGACAGAAATAAGTGAATATTCTCACCAACTTGTCTGGATGTAAACTCATTCATTTGATCGAGGCGCTTTCTTAATAAAAATATAATAAAAAAGATCTGCCATAAAACAAAATATCGCTGATATCTCTCTGCAACTTTAACTGAGGAAGAAGAAAAAGAAAAATTGAAAAGTGTATCCTGCATTGAATAATTTGAACAAAAGAAATGTATCGCGTATATTTTTAACAACATAAAATACACACATCATGATTCATCAGTGGAAAAATCATTTATTCAAGTCACGAGATTATTTTTCTTTGCTACCATACCACTGCCCTTTTTAACCCTTCCCTCTGGAAACAATATCATCACGTTTTAGTGGACACCAACCACATTTAGGTGATGTGAGAATTTTCTAAGTAACTATTAATAGTTAGAAAACCTCTGTTTAACTCATTTCATATTACACTGAAAATGATTATGCTAATGTAATACTTCTAGTTCAAAAGACACAACACGAGTCCCTCATCTCACACGGGTGTGGCTTCTAGATTCCGTTCCGTATGAAGTTGGGTGGAGGAAAGTGCTACCTTCTTTTCCATAAAGAAGAAAATCTAAGATAGTGTGTACCGTGAAGGTTTTTTTAATTCTAGTTTAGAAAGTTAAAATATTAAAAAATAGGACCTTTCATTAGATGATTCGTTTACATTGTATTACGATTAACGCATAGTGAAATGCTATTGAAAATGGGTGGAGCAAGTTGTGACACCAAAAGATCTTTCGGTTTGGTTTGGACACAAATATATGACCGCATAAAATACCAGCGTCTTAGTGCGTCTTCCGAGCAAGCTTAGAGTGTCAAGCAATTTATGCATGTGAACAAATTAAGCTTTTGGAGTGGATTTTTTACCACTCTTGAATTAGATTTCATGAAGCAGACATTTTGGGAGAGACGTTTTTTACATATTAGTAAAATTACCAAATCTTATTAATTGAACGAGAATTATGTGCCATTCGCACTTTAAAATGTGTGTCTTGTCTTTTAAATTCGACTGCGAGCACCCGATGAAGAGAGAGTGTAGTGTCATAACTTGAAATTGCAGCTACGAACTATTAGTACACAGTTCTCTGATAATTTACATTTAATGATAGTTTTTATTCGGTTCTTCGATTTTTCTAATTTATGACAATTCTTCCAAAAAATGTTATTCATATTTTAATATTAATGATTGTATTACGATTTTCACTGATCAAAGAGCTCAAGGCACGATGTGTCCTAACCTCTATCTAGTTATTAAACCATTTGTCCTTGTTTATGTCGTCGATCTGCCATAAAACATTCCAAATGGAGAAAACGAGATACTTAGTTGTTATAGTTTGCTCTCTGTATTTGTGCGACCTTTGCACCGATCTCTGCATGTTGCTCCAAAGACAGTAGCGGTGAGAGGTGGCTTTCTTTTTGCGGCCCTCGAGAGATCGAGCCTCCGTCTGCGTTGTGGGCGTCGGGCGTTGCAGCGCCGGCGACGCGGAACGTGTCTGCGCCTAAGCAGGATCGCAGTGGGGGCGGAAAGGGAAGGGCGAGGAAGACGGAGAGGACGTGAGCGAGAGCCCGACGTCCCAGCGCTATCCGGCGAGAGAGGATCTTGGCAGCTGCGATGCGGCAAGCAGGGAACAAGACTCTGAAAAGGCCAGCGAGACAGCACCTTGCACCGCAACAGGGTAGACGTTAAAGATTTCCCAAAAAGGAGAAAAACAGAACTAGTTTATGTAGGTTTGCTCTCGTATTGCGACTTCACCCGTGCTTACTGCCCGAGAGGTCGTAGCTTTCAATCTGACAGGTGGCAGGGGTTTTCGACACTAGCTTACATAGCAGATAGACTTCAATCACGTTCTGAAGACGAAGTATAGTCGCCGGCGCTCTGATGAGTAGTTTTGCGTGTTTTTTTTTTTCGAAAAAACAGAAGACCCACATGCGGGGACTGACCATAAGAAACGAGCTCAGGTCGCGCGCCGATCTTTCCTCCCTCTTCTTCATTCTATCCTATCCCTTACCTACACACACACACACACACATCACACACACTGTACGATACGCTACAATATCCCGCACTTGCCGGGAGGGGTCGAAAGCTAGAAGCTATGTTGCCGGCTGGGAACGGTGGGTCGGGAGGCGGATCGGACGAGAGGGTCTCGTAGCAGATACGTGTTGACGAAAACCCCGTAAGTCGAAATATAAGGTCGCCGCTGGATATCATCTTTCAATGGACGAAGATAATCAGCCACTTCCTGCGTTAAAAAGCCGATTACATTTGGAAACCGTGAGTGTTTCCTATCCTTTGATTGCAAGAGACGAGAGGTAAAATGAAGGCGAGGATTTTAAATTATTTAGTTTCAAAGTGTGAAAATATTACAAGCGGAGAATTTACAAACAAATTTAGTAATTAAGTTGCTAAATGCACTAGGTAATATTTTCACATCAGAACTAAGCCAAAAGCAATTTTATATAAATGTAATTCATTTTGAAAGGAAATTGAGGCGCCCTAACTGGCATATGCTCAACATTAGAATGGAAAGCGTCGGCAATTGTAGATTGTAATCGCTACTTTCAAAGCTCCCCAAATATACAAATTAATTGAGAATACGTTAATTGTTGTTGTTAAGTGCGTTTATATGTTTTGCACATTATTAAAAACTATTTGCAAGCGCAACTCTCGCAAAAGAAGTTGTGGCAGTAGCTTCACATTTATTCACTAGCTTCCTGAATTTAGAATGGAATGTTTCCCAAAGAGACCTGCAAATAAAATACTCGGTATTATGTAGAAACATATGCTAATATCTAATAGATATACTGATTGGTGTCATAAGTGGGTATACATTCATATTTCTAACTCAAAAAGTGTACGATACCAAACCACATTGTTGTCACTTTATTTTTTTCAAGACGCAATCATGGAAGTAAAGAGGACTTCATATAGCAATATTCTTAATTCATTCGATATTTTTACATTTCTCAGCCCCCAAATATAACATGGATAATTCGCAAAGAAGGAAAACAGGTTAAAACGCAAACCATCAAATACATTATACAATAAAAATAAAATAAAATTTGCACTGTAAGCAGAAGTTAAGCAGGGATGTGAAAACAAGGAAATTAAAGGGGCCAAACTTTAAACACTGCCAAAAAATATTAACGAAGATATGCGAAGTAGCTATAATGCCGTCAGTATTAGAGCCGCTGTGAGCAGAAAACAACTTACTTCAGTGGGCCTATTCGAAATCGTAAACAAAATAAATGACTCTTTGAGTACGGAAGTGGCCTTTTGAGAGTGTTCGCACCGAGCCACCATCCAACCGTTGACGCGTCAACTCTGGCCAAAATGAGGGCTCCCCACGCCCAACGGGCCGCACTGGATCTAAGCCACGTCAGGCAGCTCATCCGGCCGACCAAAAGGAACCGAGCGGGGATCGTCTCCAAAGCTGCGTTCCACGGCGCCGACAGTCCCAGGCGGCCTTGACTGCGCATTTTTTTTTTTCCCATCCATCGGTAATACGGCGGACGACTCGGTGGTGGCGGGTGATGGAGTTGGCGATGGGGGCGGGCAGTGCGACCGGCGGCGTGGGCGTCCGTTCGACGGAAGCGCGGGTCGGGAAACCAGTGGCGGGGACTTTTGGGGGCGTACAAGGCCAGGCCGAGGGCGAGGCCGAGGCGAGGCTAGGCCAGGTGCGAGGCACGAGCAAGTGGCAAGCGGATAGGCGGACGGGCGGCCAGCGGGGAGGACGGATGGAAGGGGTCGCGCCTTAGGGTGGTGGCGGGGAACACATCCGGCACAGGTGGTGTTTGTTTCCATGTTGGGGCGGTAGCAGTGAGCAGAAGGAATATTGGGTGGACCCGGGCTTGCCGGGCCGGGCGGTGTACGTGGGCGGAGCGGGCCAGGCCAATCCGAGGCTTGGGACGGGGCAAGGCTCGTTGGCGGGGAGGATGTGGTGGTCGAGCGGTGGACGGGGCGGGCCCGGTGGACGGGCGGGTGGGTGGTGTAGCGGATCAGTGCAGACAGGCGGAGGCAGGGGGAGAGGTGTGGCGGGACGGTGGACGGGGGTGGAGTATCGAGCGGTGGACGGGACGGTGGCGCGGCAGCGGGCGTGGTGCGGCACACGGGGGGTCGTGGCCGGGGCGGTACCGGGAGTTATCAGCTGTTATTTGGCGGTGAGCGTTGTCGCGCGGACGCGCGCTTCAGTGGACGGCCGAGGCCCGGCGTGCAAGCCCTATCTTGCACTTTATTCATTTATAGCGCAGAACGTCCAACTCTAGCGCGGAACAGATATCTCTCCTCGGACGCGTCCTCTTTGCTTTACCCTTCCTGGTCGCGGCTCTGCCAACCGCCTGCCCGCCCCGCCCCCCGCCCGCCCCGCCCCGCCCCGCCCCGCCCCGCCCCGCCCCGCCCCGCGTGCCGCGTGCTAATGCTCCCCACGAATGCCCACGCTCCACGGCAGGGGTGTCCAACTGCCCGCACCCGAGCCGCATGCCGCTTTTTTTTTTACTCTGGTGAACGATTTACAGAGTCAACTTTGAATTGTAAATGGCAATAGAGTAACTTTGAATTCGCAGAATCATTCTTTCATTTTGCATAATCAGTTAATTTGGGGTCATTGTCTTTTATTTTTTATTTCTTTCCGTTAGGAATTGCTTCCTTTCAGGGTGAGAACAATATTACATATTCATTTTTGTTGCCCATTCCCAAGGTATTTGTACTGTTTGTTACAGGTTGTTTGAGTTAATATTCAATTCAATTGATCATACTTGAAGTCAATGATTTAAAAATAGTTGTTAGTAGTAAATATTATTAGGTTATAGTTGTTAGATTGTATTTATAGATATTGTAATTAGTTATAGAATATCGTAGGAGAACTATTTATGGAGGTTTAATTTGCGTTTTGGAGAGCTATTCTGTTAGATTTTAGGTATTTTCTGCCCAGTTTGAGGAGGAGAGTGGCTAGAGGTTCAAGTCTTCCTGGTTTCGAAGTAATTCGGAAAAACATCATCACCCCATATAATTCTTGCATAGCATATTCACTAACTAAATTCAACGGCGTGTCTGTACATTATAAAGTTCTTTGTAAAGTTTCTCCAGATATTCAGAGATTTTTTGAGATTGTCATAAGTGCCGTATAAAGTTTGGTAATAATAACTCAAGAATGGAAAGTAATTAAAATGCGGGTTCTTTTAGTGTTGATGAGTAATTGGTTGCCTGTTAGGTTAGGTTAGTGTGTTTATTTTTACTGGAAGCTGTTATTTATCATCTGGCACCGGTCAACTCTGTTTTTTCATATTCGATCTCGTATGTAAATTTGGAGACGCATTTATCCACCTGCACAGTTTGTATTTTCACTGAAAGTGGTCAATGATACTGTTTTGAGAGCAAATAATTCTTGGCACAATATACAGTGATTGAGAGAAGCGGAAGATCGCGCTGACACGTGTATGGTGACAACTACGAGTGGGGTTCGATTTACGTGGAAAAACGAAGTGAATTACGCTTTTTAATTGCGGGGTCATGTGTGTATTTATGTGGCTTGATGAAAGGTACATTTCAATATCAATGTCCAAAGTTTTACAGAATGGGTGGTTTTCGTACACCATGACAAAATGATGGTAGGCCAATATAAATCAATGTGAAATTAGGAGACCCTTTTGCCTTAAGGGAACTTTTGAATTCGGTCTTTCTCGCATTGAAACAAGGAGCTTCAAGGCATATATTGCTCGCTAACTAAACATTACTAAAACCGACATTGGCCCTTCTTGCACCAAGTCACAGAATTGACCTTTAATGTTAATCCCGGTAGATTACTCTAGTTGCGTCAGCCAAATGCGTATGCACGTCCGTTGAATTTAGAAGGTTCTAGACGGATTTGTAAAGTTCGTTTGAGAGAATTTTAAAGATGCACTTGGAATTAGATATAGGGAGTTGAATTTGTGGTGACAGAATCCTGCCCACAATTGAAAGAATTCGTATTTAGTTAATCCATAGTTCTCATTTGTGAATGTCTATTTCTGGTCACCTTAAATCTGCTTCTTTTGCACTAATTTTATTTTTTCATTAGACTCAGAAATCCCAGACGAAACATATAGGCAAGTTTTGAAATTCCTGGATGCCAGGAGCCGATTTAGTCCAGATCGCCCAAGCATTGTACGCGTTGTCGATTTGAGTGTTTTTATAAGACCGCTAGCTGATATACGCCTGTGGTTCGGTTTGAGGGAGAGGCTGATGTAAAGAAAACGGTGGTTAGTTCGCAGCAATGTTGACCGGAGAATGTGCAGATAAGGTCTAAGGGTTTGGCAATTTTCATAGAAAAACATTTTCGTACAATCACTCCGTATTTCGAAGTGATGTGGCGCTTTAGAGCGCTTTCGTATTACAGTTTAGCAACATAACAACAATTTGGATATAAAATTTGCACACCGATACTACCTTATGGTCTCAACAAATGACTTAACACACGGGAAAGCTACGACAATAAGTAAGCTCTATGCACGCACAATTGAGGAGTTAATGGGTTAATTAACAACAGAGATCTAACAAAGATCTTCATAAAGCAAAAGGTAAATCACTAATTCATATCAAGCATTCATCTTGCGCATGTCAGGAGTACGAGAGTTGGCTGAGACGTTTGGACTCCCCTGCTGTAGAACCTGTCTGAGAGCAGAAGACTTGCTTCTCAGCATTCTGAGAGCTACGGCGAAGCTCCAGGATATTTAAAAGTCAAATACTGATGCTTTCATAAGTTACGCTAAACAAAAATACAAAACTCTACATGTCGCAAATAAATACAAATTTATTTACGAAATTCACTTCCTTTTCAAGCCGTTGGAGGCAGGAATTTTGAATATGAATGCATACACTTTATTCCTTGCACGAAATTTTACTTCGCGTATAGATTTTATGATTAAAATGTAATTAGTAATACATACCATACGTTTTTATCATGGTTTGTCAAGTCACAACGTCCCTGAATCTACATCATTTTAACGTCGTTGCCCTAGAATATACTATTCCAAATGAAAGCTAAATTTTCAAATGAAAACAATCAAATAACTAAGAAGTTTTTTTTACAATGTGACGTCTGTAACTGCATCTTTGTTGTATGTGTGTTTGGATGTTTTCCATGATTTCGTCTACCTGTCTCTTGAAGAAAACTTGTAGTCAGTCTTAGTATTCAATTTTTTACGGCATTAAATGTTGCTTCAAGTCTTAACAAACTAAATTACACAACCAGAAAAGAACTGTTTTTTAATACACACAAATTTTCAACTATATTTCACACTACAATCATTCTGGTTTCCGAGATAAACGGCAACCAAGAAGGCAGAAAAGTTGGTGGAAAATACACACAGAAAATAACAGAATATTGCCAGAAAATAAAAGGAAACTCTTTTTAAAAACAGTTACTAAAGGCACAGTTACACTGCTTCCCAAGCTTGGACGGCCTTCAACAAAGTCTAAACAACTTTGCATCAACGATCGTTGTTTATACTTTTAAATTCATTGCAGATATATTTTAAAAACAATAGAAGTACGTGTGTGAATATCCAGAGAGATTGTTTCCATTTTCACTAAAAATTTTATTTTTTCGCCTTTCTTCGTAGGAAGAAAAAGTACTCTAGAAAACGTTTTTTTGGCAGAAACCTTACTGCCAAATCTAGGTTTATGCTGAGAAGCGAGTTTACGAAAAAGTAGGTAAACCTCGTTCCTATATGATGTAAATTACGTATTATTTATTATATTATCAATTATTTATTATAGCACATTGTGTGGTCAGAATTCAATTTTTGTGGGTCCTTCATACCAAAATATCGAGTGAAGGCAAAACATCCGACCATCTATCGTTAAGTGCTTAAACGCTAGCGCCTAAAACGTTGAGACGATTTTCTCCAAAACAGATATTCTACAATTGACCTACATGAATTCAGTCTCTGCAAGTTTAAAATAAATATTTGCTGTTTGGAGTGTTCTGTACCTGAACCCTAATCACGTATATAATTTTTTCCCATAAAACATCCAGTTTTTACGAAACTGTCCTGAAATAACGTAAAGAATCTTATGAATGATGTGAATATAATTTTTCCTGAAATCTTTGAATTTTCAAAAATTTAATAAGTTAAAATTTTTATTCGTCTCTCTGCAACACCAATGTTGAAGTAAAATATTTTTCCCGCTGAAATCTGCTGTTCAAAGGCAGATCTTGAAATAAGATAATGGACAATTTTTTTCAAAAATATTTTCGCGCAACTTTGCGTGAAATGTAGACTATTACTAAACAATATTTCTAAAAAACGGTTTGAAATATGTCCTTTACATTTTCTCCTCGTATGCATCAATTAATGTTAAAAAGTGATTTGGGGCTCATTTAAATCTCTTTAATTTCGAAAATTGTGAAAATATATGATTGGAAAAATACAATATTCAAAATGAAACATATTCGTTTTAAATGAAATCTGTTTTTAAAAAATACCTTTAAAAATATATTCTAAACAATTTTCCAAAAATAAACAGTTTTATGTTAATTTCTTTTTCAAACATAATCCTAGAAAATAAGTGCCGTTGTTAAACCACCAGTTTAAAAAAAATATTTCAATTTCTATTACTCGTGTGAGTTTCCTTATTGTCGCTAGGAAAATTAAACTATTTTAGAGTGCAAAGAAACCGGTCTATGCAACAGACTCTTTCACGTTCTCCTTCATCCATAAAACCTTTAAAACTAACGACCTCTGACCAATTGCCCTACCAATAGGGGGCCTTGACTTCTCATCTGCGTAATCGTAGTAATGCAGGTGTCTCTAAGAGCGTGGAAAGAGTGAGTGAGCGAGTGAGTGAGTAGAGTGAGTGAGTGAGTAGAGTGAGTCAGTAAAGTGAGTGAGTGAGTGAGTGAGCAAGGGAAGAAGAGAGGTTCTGTTGATTCCGTGCGTGTCAACTAATTAAGCCATTCGTTTCGTAAGTGTAGTTAATATTATATCTTGCTATTGGCAGTGTCCTTCCCCATTGGCATGTGAGATTTTGTGCAGACTTTTGTATTGGGTTTTCTCCCTTCAGGTATCATTCTCAGCGAGGGTTATCTATCTTACCCAGCAATAGGGTACTACACTAACATCCTGGTAATTATCGGGACACTTATCTCAGGACTTGTTGGTCAACTATTATTCAGAGGCAACCCTGATGTCGCTGAGCTATCGCAAGCGGTTCAAGTTCATGGGTGTTTGTTCTACGGGATTGGGGGAATACCTTATTTCTCGACTCAAGGAAGGATTAGGATAGGAAGGCAAAAGAAGGACTGCGTGCGTTCCATGGCCCGGTTAAGAACGTACTGCTCCAGTGGGCTCGTATGAAAGTAAAACATATCTATCATAGCATCGTACCTTTACAATTTTCACCCAATAAAATATTTTTTTTATTTTGGAGCCAAAATTTCTGTTCCAACAGGAACAAAGCTTAAGCCTTCAAATCTCATGTTTCACAATAGTCTCTCTGACACCTCTCACCCTCTGCA